CCACAACCGAGGTAAGGCCTGATTGAAAGTCTTGGACAATGCTTTGTGCTCCTCACTATCTTATCAAGATTTGCTTTTTTCTACCTACATTTATATACATCACAAATTAACCTAAGCTCAACTTGTCATTAAAAGATGAAAAATCTAGGTGGATTTTGACATCATACCAGGTTTTTCTTTTCGACCAAATCCATGAATTTGTTTTGCTATTGCTAAGTCTTGAAAAAACATGATATAAAATTAACTATTTTTTTTTAAATCCATAATGTTGAATATGTTAAATTATTCAATTTTTCAACAAGAAAAATCTAAAGTTGAAAAAAATGCCACAAAACGCTGTTAATTTATTTATGATGGAATGATCTATTATGACATGTCTCTAATTTGTATTTAGTTACATCGTATTTATTTTCAATTTTTCAAATTGAATTGTTCACCTATATTACATATGATCCATTATTGTATCATAGATTGGTGGGGATCATAGATTCAGGGGTATCAGAGATTTGTGGCAGGGGGATGTGAGACCCTTGCACCCCAGTATTTGGTTTTCTATCCTGAAGATTGTATCATTCTGACATAATCTGAAATGAGCATGAAAAACTCTCTGTGTTGCAATTACAGATTCACCAATCTTAAGAAAACATTTCAATGGCAAACATGGTGTTCAACGATCCAAGCCATGCTAATAACTGGTGGTATCTGAAATAAAATGGTAAAGCATTACCTAGATGAAGGCACCCTTGTCACTTGCCTAAGTCCACTATCACCATACAGGTGTGGGAAAATGAAACAAAATTAATAAATAAAATAATAATGAAATATAAAAAATAAATTCATTTTCCCATGATGCATGTTATAAAGAAACTGGAAAGGGTTTCTGGTCACGTGTGATTTTATGACCCCACTCCCGGAAAGGACTAAATCTTTCTACTTTCCAACAACATGTTTTCACTCATGAAATAAAGATTTGGCTATCCCATCTCAGCACAAGGCTGACTTGAGCTCTACCATCTTTACCTGATTTTATCCTTACTTCCCATAAATTATTTCTGAACCAAAAAGGAAATGGTCATACTGAAGTGACATTTAATTTTGTTTCAATACTTCAACATAAAAGAAATAAACCATCATAGCAGAATCTCATGTTGTTTTGTATGCTTCTTCTAAATTCTTTGTTTATTTATTGAACATACACCCTCACCTAAAAGATACACACAACCTTGTAAACATCTACACAGGTGACACTTTAAAATGTGGGAGATATTTCTGTTGTACCCTGCTGGGTTTTTGTAGTATAGTTTACATGTCAGGTCAGCGAATGGTAGTAAATGGTTTGCACTAAAGCAGATTTCAGCAACAACTGACTTTTCCGTGCAACTCACTTAATTTTGATGCCAACCAATGAATACCTGAATCAAAGACCTCCATTTGTAAGGTTTTCTGACTACATCAAATGACCCAGAATTTGGAGAAGTTTCATTTACAAAAATAGATTCTCTGAACACCTTCTCCCATAAAAACAAAGTTTGATATGAACACTGAAAACTTTTCAAATAATTACACAGAGAAAAGCAAATTGAATGACAAGAAAACAAATTAGGTTTTATAGTAAACAAAAAAGGTTTTATTTTAATTTTAGTGATTTGGTCATTTGGTTTGAAATGCTTGCTGGCAAGAAGTTAGAAATATTTAAAAATAACTTCAATTGAGAGTTGCTAGGTTTTTGTAGTATAGTTTACATGTCAGGTCAGTGAAGGGTAGTAACTGTCTGCACAGAAGTAGATTTTGGCAATAACTGACTTGACCAATCAACATGCTTAATTTTGGCACCAACCAATGAATATGAATACTCAGATGAGAGACTTAATGTAATGTCATCTGATGACATCAAATGACCCAGAACTCAGAGAATTTTCATTAAAAAAAATAGATTCTCTTAACAATTGAAACATTCATGATTTTGAATGGATTTACATATAATAGCTGGCTGCTTGTAACTGAGTATGCCTGTCTGCAAGGGTGGATAGCCAATCCTTATTGAAAACACTTGCTCAGGCACATTTGTGTTTGTCCAACACCCACCCTATGGTTTGTACAGTTTCTTGGAGTGAGCACATTCAAGAGTATGAACAAGACCAGTACACTAAAAATATCAGTCACGATGACTTGTGACTAGCACAACCATCAACAGCTCCCCAGAAACTGGGTAAATTTCACTTGCAAGGCTTGGATCAACACATGATATGATTTTCAGACACTTTTCAAAGGTGCCATATGCTGGGATCCCCCTCCCCAGGCTGATAACATCAAGAAGCCACTTTCCTGAAAAACTGACCCTGGTGAAAGTCAAACTTGGGTCTCATGATTGAAAAGGGGCTGTTCTAACCATTCAGCCATATGCCCATATTGAAATTACATATATTTGTTATTGAAAGTTCTTTTTTTAGTTTAGAGATAATAGTTGATCTTGTGATGACAGTAAAAATGAAGTAAGCATCACAACAAGTAAGATGCTCAGTTCCTTAAAGGCACTAAGTTTTTGCTGGCAGAATGTGGCACTATATAGTGTCAAACAACTTTTGCTCTCACAACTATGGCTGGCCCTGTGTTAAATGTGTTTTAAATAAGAGCAAGTCTTCTATCCCTTTTCTCTTCATTCCATTTGAGGTGTTATCATCTTCTGCTAATAAAGCATAATGTTTTACTTTTAAATTGACTTCATATTCTATTCTTGATTCATCTAGAGTATCTTTGCCTGACTCTCCACTTAGAACAGGGGTCCCCAACCTTTTCTATGCCTCACACCACTAGAAAATATATACACACATAAACAAAAGTAATATCTCATATGAAGATGAAGAAGGCAATTTATACTCAATTTGAGCAACAGATTTATTTAAGTTACTTTTTGAATGATATGAAAAGAAAGAAAAAAAAGAAAACCATTATAGCAAACTTAAATATGAACAAATAGTACAAAAAATTAAGCTTTTCATTCAATGTAAGTGGAAATTAAACAATTTAAAAAAACTAAATTCTAACCATAAGAAATTCACATCAAAAAATGTAAAATTTAAATCTAATAGCATTTTTGTTCCTGTTTCTTGTATATGATTTTATCAAAATATGGTACTTTGTTACTGATAGCGATCCACATATCTGCCTGTGGATTCATGCAATTTCTAGATTTTGTCTTTATTGATAAAAGGGAACTAAATCCAGACTCACATAAGTATGTGGTCACAAATGGGATAAGGACACAAAGTGTTTTATCACAAAGTCTTGGAAACATATTCATTGCTGAGCATGAATACTCCACCAAAGTCTTGCTTTCAAATTGCATTTCAAGAGTATGATTTGTCTGCTACTATTAAAATGGTTAAAGGTATCAGCAAAAATAATGAACAAATAAATTTGAATGTTTAACCGTTAAAGTTTAAACATTTAAATTTATTTATTTATTATTTCTGCTAAATTGCCAGATCTAAGGTTTCACACCTACTAAAAGGTGATCTCCATGCTAGGGGGTGCAAGCACCCCTGGTTAGAAACCACTGACTTAGAACTAAGTCTTTGGAAATTGTCTTCTGTAGTTCCAATCTTTAAGAACCCAGGTGAACTGTCTGATCCTTCTAACTATTGGCCTATTAACTTTTACCTCTTTTTGGCAAACTACTAGAGGCTCTAATCAACTCTGAATTGATTAATCACCTCACATTGGAGGGTCTTCTGTCAGATAAGCAACATGGCTTTTCTTCTCTAGGTCAACTGTTGATGTATTAATGATTATTGCTGGAAGGGTATATCAAGCTTTAGATAAGAATAGTGAAGATTTAGGCTGTTGCTTTGGACATCTTGAAGGCATTTGACAGGGTTTGGAAGGTTATGGTATTTCTGGGTGAATTTTTGAATTGATTCAATCTTTCTTATCAAATAATGAAATGAAAGTTGTCCAGAATGACCACTCTTCTAGATCTTTTTGCCTTAATGTAAGCATCTTCCAGGGATCTATGCTTGAACCTACATTGTTTCTAATTTTCCTGGTGGCTTCATTTCCAAACTCGGATATCTATGCTGATGATACAACTATTTACTCCTGTCTTAGTAATAAGGCTGATCGCCTGTGGAACTCACTTCTGGTTTCTTGCTTTTCAGCTAACTTTGATCCTCAAAAATATAAATGGGATGTCATTCATTATCTATTATCTCCTTGATTTCTCTTCTTTTATTGTTCTTGCTCCTTAATAGTTTTTCTTTTTCTTATTCTTTCATATCCAGTAACCACTTATGTCTTAGTGGCCTTATTGCCTTGTTTGGGCTGAAATGATTAAAACAAAAAAAAAATCATCTCCAAGACTAATTTATAACTAGAAAGAAAATATAGAAAGCACTTAATGTAAGAACAGTTCAGGAATTGAAACAAGTGCTAGAAGAAACAAAATACCAAAGAATCAGAAGGGACTATACATAAGTCAATACTCAGCCTGCTCTTGGTAACTTATTAAATTATATTATTATAGTAAATTATGATAATAGTACTCTACTGTATTTTCTTTGGTTTTTGCCTTTTCAAATAGATGACAACTATCCAGATCATATAAGTCTTTGAAATGGCGTTAGTAAAAATATATCTATAGAAGCATTTAAATAGAGAAGGCATGATTAGTATATATTCTCAATGTTTCATTTAAAATAACTTTTTTTTATTTTTCTATAGTTTTCTACATTCGGAAATGTTTATATAAAGTACATGTTTTCGTGAAAGACCGGTGTGAAGGGACTTAACTCTGTCTGGATTATTATTCCTTGCACCCATGGCTACGCATGCCATATCTGGGGCTTTCATTAATGACGTAAAATCATTAGTAAATATGGAATAATTTCAGTTTCTTCAGGAGATTATTAAGAAAGATAAAGATCTACCTTTTTGAAAGGTCAATGGCAGGTGAAAAGAGCAAGACAAAGCTTAAATGTGGCAATTCTGGGTCGTCTTTCCAGAGTCAACCACCGCCTTCGGAGAAGTTGACGAGACGACCCAAGACAGGGGAAACTGACGATGATTTGCTCAAATTACAACGAGATTTCTTTATTGCAAAATGTCAACCCGCGGCGAGGGTTGTAAAAGCTGTCGAGAAAGCAAGGCCTTCGGAAGTTTCTTCTTCTACACAAGAAACTCACCAACAACAAGGCGCAGTTTCGACTTCGACAAAACGAGATGTGGTCCACATGGATGTATTTCCGAGTCAGGCTTCTTCGACGAAATCAACTCCTATCCCACCGACAAAGAAATTAAAAGCGGACCAGAAATCAAGGTAATTCAATTTATCAATTATTTAACTGTTTTTTTTATTTGTTCTTTTTAATTTTTATTAACAGAGCCTTGTGATATAATATTTTTCCAGTTAGCAATAAGAACGATTCGTGACGGAAACAGTTTTAAATTAAATACATATGGAAAGAATGATTGAATAGTAAAAAAAACAGTCTCTTTTAGACTAGTAGTGTGGGACATTCTTTTAGTGTCGTGGTGTTTTCATACACGTCATTTAATTCTTAATTTTCTTGCTATATATTGTCTTCATGTGTTCTTTCTTTCTGTTTGTTTCTTTTTCGTTTTGTAAGATAAATAATTGAAAACGAGACAAAAGTTTTTATTTAAAAAATCGAATTAAAAGGTCAACATTAAATAATGAGTTAAGTCTCAATGTTCCAAATATGGAAAAGATTTCGTTTCCCAGTATGATCTTTTCCGACTCGTTCTTCGATTGTTTCTTTAAGCAATGAACAAGAAGGTTGCTGTGGTCTTATGTTTTACACTAATTAAATAATTAGTAGACACTTAACTTTGGTCATGTGGTGCTCGTAATTCACACAAATATTACGACTAAAACCAGAAACACACTAGTTACTTGAGTTGCGAGAGATATTCAGAAATGACGAATCATGAAAATTTGACTTGCCATTTGGTACGTAAATTAATGGAAAACATTCTTTATCGGTTTGTTCAAACACTAGACAATACAGGGTGGTCCAAAAGTAATGTCATACCTACATAATATAATTTTCTATTTCAATCAACGCTCTGTAGGATATTATCGAGGAGAGAGTTTCACTTGAACGATATCAGAATCTCCAAGACTTTCGGACCACCTTAACGAAAGTTTACGTTAAAAAATCTTTCAAACATTTGTGATAGAAAGTTATTATCTATTCAAATGAAAAGAGAAACGTTTGGTTACTTAAAAGTTTTAAGAGATAAATGTTGTTCAAGCAACTAGAAGTTTTGAAGTATTTTTTATTTTTTTTACCCTTAACTTTCGTCATGGGATGAGAGTTCAAACCGTTGGATAAGTAAATTCCGAAAATAAATGCATTGCGCATTGATTAGTCGTTCAGAATCTTGTGTTTAGTTTACAAAAAAAATTATGCAGGGACGATTGTTTTTATTTTTATATTTTAATAAAATAACAAACAAGGGAGTGTTGTTTTTTTGTTTTTTTTACACAAGAGGAAACTAAGTAACACCAACGACCACCACTGGACTAAACGTCATATTTTTAAACTTTTTAAAAGATTCATACAGTGTTTGTGTATTTTTATTTTTTTTTACGTTCATGGGTGGAATTGAGTTTATGATCGTGTTTGGTTTTAAGTAAGTTTGCATTTATTTTCTCTAGGAAGTTTTCCTTTTTTTTCTTTTTTTTTTTTTTTTACAAATTAGGTACAAAAGCGATAACTAAGGTTTTAAAAAGATTTGCGATACCTAAGATTTAAAATTAATTTTTACAAATGAAAACTTTCTTCTTGCTTGGATCTTTTATTTTACTTTTAAATATCTCCAATAAGCAACATACTTTTTGTGTATTTCGGAACTAATTTAAAATTTAAATTTAATGGAAAGAGTTTGAAATTACTAAAATTGCTGATCAATCTGTTATCGCACTGTAATTCTCTTTATTAAAAAAAAAAAAAACTTTCAAAAATAAAATATGCTTTTCTGAAAATTTATTTGAGTAGTATTAGTTGATTTAAAAAGTAATAGTACTTACTTTTAGTCTAAATATTGCAGAAATGCGTTTTTTAACACAGCAGTAGCTGTTTAAGGTGTTGACAGCTTGAATGGAACATGGAAGTTTGTTTTTCTATGGTGCAAGCAAATATCTGTAAAAAAAATAATTGTGCGTGTCTTTCTTATGTAATTTTTAAGTACTCATTAAATCTTAAAAAGTTAGGATTCTCCTTAATCCAATGTTTTATTGATCTTTAGATACTTTGGCTTTAAATTTACTATAGTTAATTCTCTTGTTTTCTGATAATGTCATGTATGGACAACCATATCTACAAAAATCAACACGTTTTTATACATACAAAAAAAATTCAAAATTCTTCTAAAAATATTGGGTGTTGTTGAATTGTACGATTATGTTTATGATTAGTAAAGAAAGTTTTTATTGAATAACAATATCACCTGAAAGTCACAAAGTAATACAGAAATTTAAATGATTTAAACTTTATAAATTATTCTAATTTTTTTAACAAATGAAAACGATCCTTGTAAAAATCAATTATTCATTGAAAAAAATTTTTTTTGTGCACCTAGTTTTTCTTTCTTTTTTTTTTTCTTTTTCTTTGAGATAATTTTTTCAGAATAATATTTTTTATTATGCATATTTGTTTCTTCTTTATATTCATTTCAAAATATGTATTGGCTGCAAACCAGTGTGCATCTATTTATTTATTTGCCATCATTTCACATGACAACTTTCCAGTCATACAGATTACATTTTACAATGACACACCCAAAATAGCCTATTTGAGATATTTCTTTTTATAAAAAAAAAATTCTGATGTAAAGAATTCTATAAATATATGTTGTGTTATGTATACTTAAATTTATTCAACGATGTTGTTATAATTTATTGTGAATGTTTATTTTTCACACGCATAATAGTTGGAATATAATATGCAAGTGTTTATGTATGTGGATTGATATAAGAATGTATATTGAAAACAAATACTTAATTTCCTATTAAAAGTGCTGAAAAAATAGAAAAACGGCCCTAGCTCAAGAACCCCTTGTCTAATTTTAATGAAATTTGGCTCTTTGTTTTAAGGTACAGTATGCTCCTAAATTGGTTGGGGTATTATGTATCATTTAAGCTCTATCTTGGGAACACACATACATACAAAATTAGAATTTTAGTATTATATAGATATAAACATGAAGCCCTACAAAAATTAATTTCTTGATTCATAGTCACTGGTTGATGCAAGAAAAAATAATTTTTAAGATTCTAAAAAGGATCAAAAAATATAATTTAATAATCAAAAAATCATTTGGTCATTTTTTTCTCTTAATATTTTGATGATAAAACTTTGATTTTTATTAAGTTTGGGGCCTTTTTTTCATCATGCTATGCACATTTTTTAGCAAATCTTTGGAGATAGTTAAATTTAATACAAGATGAGTTGTTACAAAAAGTTTTGGAAAATTTGAACAGTTTAAAATTCTGTGTCTCGCCAGACATTTGAAACATTTTTGAAATCACTCCATAGACAACTGAAAGCTCTTTTATATTTCTTTTAATTATTATTGCTTTATTTTTTGATTGTCCTTTCATGTTCTTTGATCTTGTTGAGTAGTTTTCATGTGTCACCTCCATTCTAACATTAATTAGAAGGATTATCATTAAATTAGTTAGAATGTCAATTAAAAATTTCTACCATGAGATGCTGGTTGTTAATAATAACAACAGCAACACTTCATTGAAAAACATTTAAGAAAGTCAAAAGCTTGAACTGTATTTCTTCAAAAATGAACTTCGGACAATTTCTGATGGAATTTCTCCCTTCTTTGAGAAGGATTATTTGTAATTTGTATAATTAATCAACATAAATGTATGTTTTGCTTAAAGAACAATTGCTACTTAAATACACAGAAAAAAAAAAAAATATATATATATATATATATATATATATATATATATATATATATATATATATATACACACACTTTTCCCCTCACAGGTAGCACACACTTATATTTATTAATATATAATTTATTGCTGGGATATATTCTATCGAACATTATTTTATTAGCACCAGCACTCAATGTGTGCTATATATACATATATATATATACGTTTCATGACATTTTTTTTCATTTATTTTTATTTTTTTGCACAGAATAATTGATGTCAACTGGCTTGTTTTTTTTTTTTTTTTTTTTTTTTTTGAGTCTTTAATAAAGAAAATGTATCCTTTGATAGGGTTTAAACCTGTGTTCCTCTTACATAGGAGAAACAACTGTGCATTTTTTTAGACCACTCAACCATGAAAGACTTCATGGCAAAGGTCAGTTAGTTTTATGAAAGGAAGTTTTGCTTTAAAATCCTTTGTGGCTGAATGGTCTTTTTCCCTATATAAGTTGGACACTGTTTCAAACTCTGCCAAAAGGGCATTTTTCTTTATTAAAAAAACTCTCAAAAACCCAAACTGGTAGATATCAGTTACTGTTTTTTTTTGTTTTTGTGTTTTAAATGCAGATGCCTGTTTGCGCACATACATCCACTAAATATAACACTTACAGTGATGAAAAATGATGTTTGGTTAAAAATCTATTATTTCTTTAAAAATGATCTGTGTGTTGAAGTTGCTTGACCACATAGTGCAAGCAAATGACAGTTATAATAACAAAGATATTGAAATGATGTATTCTGGTTTCACTTGAGACGCTGGGAATTTCTCAGGCCTTAAGAAGTATTACTATTTTCTACCAGATTTCTTTGTTTAGGTGAAAGTGCCATTCATGGCAAATTCATAAACTATAGCTCTTTAGTTTTCTTTCATTCAGGAAAAAAAATAACATTGTAGCAATATTAGTCGGTTGAGGTCTTTTTAAAATGAAAACAGCTGGACCCGTTGCAAAAATGGATTCAGAACATTTACTTTTGACCAATGGTTATCAGTAAGTGATGACAACTTCAAGATACAGAGAAAGAGGCTCAAACAGGGAGAAAGTCATGGGATAAAAATAAATGTCTTTTTTAAGACAAAGATGACGTGACAAAATTGGGGGCTACTATAGTATGATATCTACTATTCATTCTCTACTATGGTATGATATTTACCAACTTTTTGAAGTATGAAATATGTTAGGGTTAAAGGCAATGAACAGAGAACTGTTTATATATTAAAAATCATTAACAATTTTTTTATACAAAAAATCATCAAATAGGGATTTTAATGTTTGTAAACTGATTTGATGTCATTTAAAACAACAGTAAACAGGTCATCATTTTCCCTGCGCATTTTCCAGGAGGAATCATTATTTACGGTAGGTTGCAAATGCCTCTGTAGATATCATACTATAGTAGCACCAAAAATTGTATCTGTAAAACTGACCAACCCATGAAAAGGCACATTGAGAGATAAAGTGGGCCTCGGAGAATGACAGACAGGGACGACACCTGTTAGACTGTTTGCTTCCCCACTTACCTATACCTCATCTCTACTTTGCTCGCTTATAGCAGTAAGTTGCATCCCAAGAATAAAATCTGTTTTACTGTTAGAAATTTGCTTTATTTTTCACTTGTAGGTAATGATCTGACTGAAGGGTAATTTTTAAGCCACAAGCATTTGACTGGAAGAAGCTGCACCCTGTCAATAAATCTAGTGTCTGGTCTGAGCTGCAATGCAACATTATCTTGTACCAATAATGGCATGCTAAAGATTCTAAATGCTTCAGTAATTCTACTGTGTTTGCTTCTTTCTTTTTAGCTTTGTTTCTAGTTTTCTTTATATATTGTACATGAGTCATTTGCAGAAATTATTTTATTACTAATTTAACCTGCCATTAGTACTGTGGGTGGTTTTGAACACCCAACAAAATGTTTTTTTGTTGATGTTGAGCAATTGTTAAGTCAAATTTCCATGACTAGCAAAGTCACTTTCTGAATCCCTCTGTCAAGTAACTACAAAAAGTTTGTTGTAATGGAATGTCCCACACTTCCTATTGTCCATGTGGACTGACTATATCAGTAGCTATATATAATGAGCACAGGATATATCTGGGGGCTTGCTTCGGGAATTACTAGCCTGCCACCCAATTTCCTGTCTTTCAGTAGCGTATTCTCTCTTCTTTCATCAATATGCATGTTGCTATTCCTTCACTCGAGTACCACCTTTGTCTGTTTGTAACCTCTTTAAGGATACAATAGAGTTTCTGGTTTTAGTCATAATATTTATGTAAATTACAACCATGTGACTGTAAAATAAAAACTGTAATAATTGGTTGATTAATGATTGATTTGTTTTTTATGACTTATCAACCCTTTTCAGTTTATTTAAAGCCAGAAAATATTTTTAGATTTAAAAAATTTTAAAAAACTTTTTCAAATAATAATGATTTAGCAATACAAGTCTTACTAATTAACCCATAGCTAGAGGGAGAAGAGGTGGACTCATACTTTTACCAAGAGTTTTAGCACCTGAGGGAATAAAAAGAACCAAATTGGATTTGAAACTCAGCTTCCTGATTAACAATTCCAAGCCATTATCCATTACACCACCCACTCATCCAAGTTTACAGCATTTGTTATCTGTGAATTACCATGCCTTTTTGAAGTTTATGATCACATCATGTTCAAACACTGGTTACCATATGATGAGTAAAGTTAAGCAACATCAAGTCTGGTCAGTATGTAGATAGGTGACTGCTTGGGATTATCAGGTGCTGAAAGTTTGGATGTGCAGGTGGTGTAATGAATAATGACTCAATTGTTAATCAGAGAGCTATGTTCCAATTCCCATTGAGTTCATTATTCACATGTGCAAATACCTTTGGGAGAGGTATGAATTTACCTCTACTCTCCCCAGCTATGGGTTAATTAGTAAGACTTGGATCACTAAACCATTATTATCTAAAAAAAAAAATAGATATTTTCTGATTTTAAATAAACTGGAAAAGGTTGATAAGCCATAAAAAAACCGGATCAATCATACCGCTTTGGAAAAGATGGCAGAGTAACTACCAAGTGCTTTCTTACTTCTTGAATTTCCAAATTTCTCTTCCTTAGACTTGCAAGTCCAATCTATTCTCTTATTTAACCCATACACCCTTTTTTTCCAGTGGTCCTCAATTGGGGTTCATGGCAATATTTTAGTGATCCATGGTTGTTACAATTCAGAATTGAAATTTCTACACTATATTAAAATACTAAAAATAGAAAAACTAGCAGAAAATGAGATCAATTGATGTAAGTTAGCATCCCTTTTACTTTACCAGATGTTTTGATTATAAAGTTGAATAAAAACTGAGAAGGATATATAAAGAAAAGATTATATATATATATATATATATATATATATATATATACACACCCTACAGTCTTTTGGGGAAACTTAATGAACAAAATACAAAAGCTTATGAAATAAGGTTAGATATTCTTTTTATTTAAAAAGTTGGGTAAACAATAAAGAGAAAAATTTCTTTATATAAATCACTTAAGTACCTAGCTACAGTTGACATATTGTTTTACTTTGGTTATCATCTGAAATCTTAAACCTCCAAACTACACTTTTCTGCTTGGTATTGGATCCATTTGCCATAATTGGGAGCTGAAAATAATGAACATCAGTTAAAATTTAAATTTTTTACAGTTAGGTAAAAAAAATGTTTTTAGTTTTCTAATGAGTATAATTTGTAAAAATTCAACTAATGATTGTTTGCTAATTGTAAAATAAAGAGTTTGTCAACCTTTTAAGCTTTAACAATCAAAGGAAATCTAAATATTACGCACTCTCCTTAAAATTTTGTGGCATTTTTCAATGAATGGAACAAATTTAGGGGTGACAATTCAATTTCAGCATGCACTTTAAAAATAAGAGACACCCTTATATAGGTACCTCCGCAAGATCTCTAAAAAAAAAAAAAAAATGAGCATAGCATGATGAAAAATACGCCAAACAAAACAAAATTTCATCATCTAAATGTTTGTTATTATTAAGAGGAAAGATCAAAGTATTTCTGGGGTATTTTTTCATTTTTTAATTGTTCCTAGCACATCCAAAATTTTCGTTAAAAATCTTTTTTTTTTTTTTTTTTTTTTTTTTGAGTCGGCAAAATTGACAGATAATCGATCATTGCAACCATTTTTTTCCATTTTGAAAAAAAAATGAAAATCTGTTTGAAATTCTTTTAAAAATCAATTATCATTCTTTCAAAACTTATTTTAAGAAAATCAGAAATTATAATGTTTATTTAAAATATTTTGAACCAAGGTTAACTGAGCTTCTGTGTCAAAAAGATGTAATTTGAAAATAATCCAAGCGGATCATAACCTTTCACATCACTTGACAGGTGATGAATGACATATTGACGGATTATGTGAGGATAATTTGTTCTACAGAAAGAGAAAAGTGAAATTATTTAGATCAAGTGAACAAATTATTTACCTCGTTATTTTTAAGGAAAACTTTCAGCACTCTAATTTTTTTTGTTTTTTGTACTTAGCTTTCACCTTTACGTTTATGATGCTTTATGGAAAATATATTATAAAGAAATTAAAATAAGACTGTTAAGAATAAGATTAGATTTCATAAGAAAGGTATCTAATTAATATAGGTACCTTATGAAATTTTATCAGAAGTGTACATAAAATACTATAATTTTATGTACATTTATTACATTTTACTGTGTTATTTGTATTTCCATTCATTTTATTATTAATTTTGATATTTCATTTATGGAAATGAGATTAATATAAAAATAAGATCATATAAATTTCATAAGATAATACTGATACTTGTAGGTACCCTTCTCAGTTGAAATTGAAAAAATCAAATTAACTTCTCCATACGTGTTTCGCAAAAGTAAAGGCCTTAACAGCGGAGAACAATGCTTAACTCAAATAACGCAACTTAATTGTATTCTGGTTGGTCTTCCGTACTTTATAATTACAGCCCAATTATAAACACAAAATTACATTTCGTAATTACTGCAGGTCTTCTGATTAGTCAAAACGATACAATTTACAACGCGCTAAAAAAAAAGATCTATCTCATAAGGACACTTACGAAAGTGGATGCGGCTTTTAAGTAATTTTATAATATTTTAACAACTTAAATGTAAAAATCTATTATAATTAAAGAAATAACAAATAATTGTATTAAAAATTCATTTTTCATTGAAAATTTTTTTTGCTTTCAGAAAATATTGTCCATATTCATAAAAACAACTAAAAGCAAATAAAAGTATTTGAAATTAAATAATATCTTTGTTTTATTGAGTTTTGTATGTTACAATTCAGAGCTGATTTTCAGGTAGGGGTGTCCAATTAAAAACAAAAAAAAATCATAATTTGCATTCCTCAAAACCTTGTGCTTTTAACTATTGTAATTACTGAAGTGGACTCTATCGAATTTCTAGAGGTTTCATAAAATTAGTTATGGGTAGGGTAATAAATATAAAAAAATGTATTTCTGCCATGACTTTTAATAAAACAAAACATATTTATAATAATTTCAATCATCTGTGAATAGTTTCTGAAAGTTTCATTAACATCCAACAATTATTTTTATTTTTGCAAGATTTTCCAAATTAATGTGTGTCATACAAAAAAAAAATGTGCTAAAAATTATGTTATTTTACTAGTTCCAATGATACAAAGAGAAACAAGGATTTTTAAATCAAAATTAAGAATGTTTGAAAAAGAAGGAAAAATTTTAAAAGATAATTAAAATAAACTTTGATCATTCCTCTTAATAATAACAAAGATATGGGATATATCACTTTGAATAAGAAACAACAGATTAGCGGGGGATTTGAACCTGACTCATCAATTCTACTTTTGGCACATATCCATTAACGCTACTCACACATCCATGTGTGGATTTACATTATTGTGGGTGGGTGGTGTGTTATATAATGTTGTAAAAAATCTTCTTTATAGGTACATAATGATTTGTTCTGTTTAAATAAAGTAAATGATTTAATAAAAGGTATGATTTTTATGTATTTTTTCTCTTTTTCTTTTAACAGAGTGGCCACTGTGAAACCGGAATTGGACCAAGAAAGTTTAGCCACTGTTCTGACCAGCATTATTGAACGTGACACTAAAAATGCTAGCGTGTACCCCAGGCCTTTTTCCGTGGATGGTTTTCCCCGGGTAGTCCATCGAGGTGCAGTGAACATCAACAACTCTTCACAGAAACTGACAGACAGAACGAAAAAGAGCTTATTTGCTCAGCAGTTTGACAAATCGTCATGCTCAGATTTCAAATTATCTTCTGAGCCATGTCCTTCTGATTCTCCTGAAAACACTTTCAAATCCAATGCCACACTCTTGTCGTCAACAGCATCTTCAAATATTATCACTGGGTTTGGTCTTAGTGCCAGTCAAGCCAGCTTAGAGGCCAAGGCCATCCACCAAGAAAACATTTCCAAGATCTCTCAAATGGACTCTGAGAAAATTATTTCCGAGCAACAGATGTTGATATCTACTCTTGATGAGAAACTTATAAATTTCCTAAAGAGCAAGAAATCTGTAAAAGGTGATGCCAATCCTGCAACTGAAAAAATGGAGACAGACGAGGCTGTTGATATTGGCATCAGACAGAAAATTTCCAAGTCGGAAACAGGAATCAATAAAGAAGAAATCCCAGTGAAACCTGACCCCAAACTTGTGCATATGGACATGGTTGAGCTTGAAAAACTGGCCTGGATGAAGGATTTACCGAAACCCAAGGCTGATTCTGTTAATGGAAACACGGCCAGATTTGATTTTGAAGGATGTCTTGTACCTGTCGATGCTGATGTTCCAGTCAACCAGGGTCTACACCATCATGGTGAGCAGGCCGAACGAGCTGGTTACACGCTGGAGGAACTGTTTCATCTTTGTCGGAGTCTGAACTCCCAGCAACGCACTTTGGCTCTGAAAACCATTGGTCATGTGATCGTTAATGCCAAGTCTGGACTCTTTGAAGAATCGTTGCAAAGCCTGATTCTTCCTTCGGTCATTAATGCCGGGCTTGTGTTTCTGTTACGATGGGCACTTGATGATAAAATTGACAATGTCCTAGTTGCTGCTATATTTGCTCTTCATGCACTGCTAACTAACATGAAAGACGAGGATGGCCTTGAATTCACATTCTGCTGGTATCGTGGCCGGGAAGTTCCCGCTCACGCGTCTGTTGATGAAGCATCCAAAATTCCCGAGGAAAAACTTGATTTTCTTGAAAAGGTCGAGGAAACGGATGCTGACAAAGTGAAAGAAGATGTTGTCAGGGCTCTTGTAAATAGTATGTATTTGCTTCAACGTTTGCGGTACCTGCTTGAAATGTGGCATCCGCCATACCAGAGTGTCAACTGTATTTTAGAGATTCTCATTAGAGTCGCCCGAAACTCTAAACAAGATGCCTACAGCATCTGTAAGTGTCCCCGTCTGCTTGATGTGATTGTTAACCAATTTCTTCCACTGTCCTGGTCCACAGATGAAGATCTTCAAGACAACATGAAGGAAAACACTGCGGTCAGTGCCATGCGTTTAATGAAGGCCATAACCCAAACTGGAAAAAGTATGGCTGCTGACCTTATCTCTCGATTCCAACTCTCTGAAAGAATTTTTCGTTATATTGCTCAAAAGCCATCAGAGATGAATCTCTCTATACGAGCAGCTTATCAATTGCAAATTGCTTCCTTTCATACCTGGCAGGTGTGCTTAGCATACGGCTTGGCAGGTGAGGGTTACTCAGAGCTTTATCCTTTGCTAATGGCAAATCTTCAGTCTGTTGTTTCAATGCCTAAAGATTCTGATCACATCCTGTCGATGTCTTTGGACTCTGCACTTTTGGGGGTACTTGAGGCGGCTATGCAACTGGCTGGATCACATTCTCGAATTCATGGCAAGTTTAATCCTTCAGTGAAACATCAGCAACAAGGTACAGGCCCTGTTTCTTCTCCAGTTCAGCTGCCTTCACCACCTATCACCTGGTCACAAGTTGTGGGTCTGCTGGAGCCAGTTCTTCTTCTCATGCAGCGTAGCCTAAAATGTGTGGCCGACCAGTTCCAGTTCAACAAATATAGTCTCAACCTCGCCACGGCAAGTGTCAATTTTGTGGCATCATTTTTCAAAATCTGGTCCCTACAGTCCGATTACAACCCGCTTAAAGTGTTGCCTCAACTTGAGAATCTTTGTGACTTTCTTTTGAATTTCCTCTGGCCATCACTCGGATTCCGGAGTGTCATCATTCGCCTAATATCCCACTCGCTCATCCTGAATGGAGGCAAACACGCAAAAAAAGAAGTTACCACAAATCTGCAAGACCTTGGGTGCAAAGCATCGGCTGGAACTTCGGAAGCTTTACCAATTCTCAGGATGGAAACACCATATGGACTTCTTACAGCAATTCTTCGCCTTTTCAATATCACCTGTACTTTGCATAAGGGATTAATGAATAAAGTGGCTCCCCTAGTGACCACAGATGAAGATATTAAGGGT